CTCTCCTGTGGAACCAACTACCAGTTTTAATCCGTGAGGCAGACACCCTGTCTACTTTTAAGGCTAGGCTTAAAACTTTCCTTTTTGATAAAGCTTATAGTTAGAGATGCTCAGGTTATCCTGAGCTATCCGTATAGTTATGCCACTATAGGCTTAGATTTCTGGAGGACATAGGGACCCCTATTTCATCATTATGCTTCATTCTGTCTCTATTCTCCCACTCTGCAGAATCTGTTAGTTCAATCTCTGACGTTATGCTCTCTCTGTATTTCCTCAGAGTAGCTTTGCCTCGTCTGTTCCTGTTTGTCTGTGACGCCATCCTGGAGAGAAATATCAGCTGTGCTGCTGCAATCAAGGAGTTGATGCCATCAACTTGTTTTCCTTAGATAGAAAACTTTGAATGCCTTGAGACGACATGTGTTGTGAATTGGCACTATATAAATTGAATTGAAGTTAAATTTGTTCTGTGTTGTGTTTTCTTCAAAGTACCACTTCCAATAATGTTTTGCACTCTCCAAACATTTCATTCCTTAAAGAAATAAAAAAGAATTCCTGCTGGGGTGTTGTGTCTTCTTGTCTCTACATGCAGGCTCATGCCAAGGGCTGCAAAGTCAACGACTCTGTGAAATAACTAGAAATGCGTTAGTCAGAGTGCCATTAGAATGTATTTGTTATAAATCTGTGCCACATAATTACACACAAGTTTACTGTAGGAAAATGTATAATAATTTGCCTGTTAAGTCTATAGTGGGCATAATGACATGAATACTGTTATGTCATAAAAGCACACTGCTGGTTATCTAAAAGAAATAGATGAGTATAACCCAGATTTTTATCTTTTTAGTTTTAACTATTCATATTCCTAAAAGGGAAGTTTCAACACTCCCTGACAAGTCATTTAAAAGTTGCTATACACTTTTCTATACACAGGGACTCATTAAAAATGCCAAAGACATTTCAAAGTCATACAAAGAGTGAGAACCTTATTTTGACTTGGCCAGAGGATAAGCCCCAACAGTGAAGCTTCAGAGGTTATTTCATATGTAAGTTGACTTATTTTGACCTTTTGTACTGGTCAGATTAAAAAAGAAAGAAGCTCTTCAGCCCAACAAAGTAAAGCATCAACAAATACTGCATGCGAAATTTCAAAACTTTTGCTTATACTGCAGATGGATAGCAACTAAAAACAAAACTAAAGAAACTTTCACAGACAATCCAAGATGATGCATATGTACCTGTAATAAATGCAACATGATGGAGCCAGAAATGGGTATTATAGGGAATGAAGGTCAGGGTATGAGATATGAAATATGAAATGAAACGATATTGTAAAAGACAAAACATCATGGAGATAAATCTATGAGGAAATCTAATCAGCAGGCAGGAATTAATCTAAAATAAATGTTGAATTAATTAATTTTCATATGATATGAAAAAAAAAAATATATACATATCATTTTGTGTAAATAGTATTCCTCCTATATTTGAGTGGCAGTTACAGATGGGAGCTCTTTAAACTCTTCAAAGGCAAAAAAAAGAAACTAGGGTAAAAAAAGGGGACTAGAAAAAAGAAGATGACTACATGGAAAACTAGACAACAAAGAAAAGTCATCAGATCAGTGAGTGTCGAAGGCAAAGACGGATTGTCTGTGTCGTAACGGAATATTTAAAAAAATGAGTGAGAGAAATTATCTTAAAACAACAGAAATAGGAGAATGAGTGATGGTTTCTTCACATATTTAAAATCCTATTTGAATAAGTAAGATACAAACAGAGAGGTTGGAGGATGCTAGAGAAAACGACAAAGGGAGGAAACATAAGAAGACACAGGGAAAGTCATAATGTGGATGGATGGACGAATGGATCTTTGAGAAAATTATACATGGAAGAAAATCTAATAAAATAAATATATTGTTTTTCCTTCGGTTTTAATAAATGGACAATATAGACTGTAGACTGTAGGAACCCTGAAGGTGGCAATAAGGGAAGCAAACACGAAGAGACAGACAGCAAAAGGGCAAAAATAGGCTAGCTGGAATACATCCACCAGATTTCTCCAAACTGGACTTTTCTTCCAGTTTTCCTTGTCCCCTGCAGCAGGTTCCAGACTGCCTCATTTATATTACATGCTAGCCCTTTAGTTGGTGCAGACTTGGAGGACATCTGTGTGCCAACTCCCTGAATGAGTGCAGTTTGTTCCTGTGTTTTTTTCTTCTTTATTTTTGATCATGATTAGCTTAATATTAAAAGGATCTTTGATGTGATCTAAACAGCCTAGACAAACAATGACGTGTTATTTTAGTGAGTTCTGTCTTGCTGAGTTATGTGATGCTGTCTAGAAAAACAAAGCACCATGTGAGCACGCTTGTGAGACACAGTCTAACAGAACAGAGACTTAATGTTCAGACAGGAGAACCTGACAGGTTCACCTGTCTGAAACCCAAAACGACAGAGTGGGGACACACCTTGAGGCATTCAGTTACTGAATATTGCAAAAAGAAAAGCGTACACACAACTGTGAGCATCAGCGTCTCCTCCGGAGTGTGAAGTTCTGTCATGCAGCTAGCCTCTTAAAAAAAAAAAAAAAATCAGACTATGTAGTCTATTTATAGTAACACCAGACAAGATACCAAGACTGTCTCCACAACAACTCCCCTGCTGGTGTTTCCAACAGATGTTTAAGAGCATATGTTTGATTCTGTGCCTGAAATAAAACAGCAGGGATCAATGCCTACAACATAAATCATACTCTCTGTGACTAAGTGATAACTCTGGCATTTAGTCTCAAGACATCTTTTTTATCTCAATGTAATCCCAGAAGATGTCCGTATCAAATGGAGGGGGAAAAAAAACAACAAATCTCTTTCATCCCCTCCTCAACTACAAAAGGGTCTCACTGCTAAACCTTCCTTTGAAGCATAAAAAATGCCCCACACTGGGCTCCTGTAGGCAACATTTCACCCAGGAAGAATGATGGAGCAAAAATCTCCTCAAAAACACCCTGAAAAGGAAATAGCCACCAGCTCAAAGCCAAAAAAATATATATAAAAATAAGAAATCAAAATCTTGTTAGCATTAATGATTTACTCTTCTAGTTCCTGATAAATAGGTACGTAGTGCGAGGAGATCAAAGCTTTAAAGCAACCCACAAAGCGTTAATTAGCAAATGAAAATTATGAAATAACTTTAAAACAGCCTCTTTGTTTTGCATACTGCTTTGCACATTCTTGGCATTCTCTCCATGAACATCAGGAAGTAGTCACCTGACCTTAAATGGTTTGTTGTATCATTTAGCCTACTACCTATAGAATCTTCTGTTACAGCTAATCAGTCAATCAATTTATAATCCCATCTTAACCCTCTGAATTTAAAAACAAATGAATATTCCAAGAGATTAAATATTCCCAATCCAATATGGTGCCTTTGCACCCACAATAATAAGATGCTCCAGTTGTTGTTTTATGAATGAATCAGAATCAGAATCAGAATCGGGTTTATTGCCATTGTTAGTGAAGAGGTTCACAACTAGGAATTTTTTGTGGTACAGTCGTGCAACATGAAACATATATGAAATAGTAAATAAAATTATAAAAATCTCTAAAAACACTAGGGTATAAGGCATG